TCAACTTATATTACGTGGCAACATCAGACTTGTCATATATCCCTGCCCAGTTCCAGCCCATCTCAACCTATCCCAGGTTCACATGAACCGCACTACGTAATTATAAATATAAGCAAAAAAATATTTTCAAATAAAAATTATCCAATAGCAATGACCTTTCATCATGCATTGAAAATCCACCCATTTTCACATACATACACGTATACATTATTAAGATTTAGGGTTCCGTTTTAAATGTCAACATTATCAAGGAAAATAATTTAAACTTTTATAGATTTGTTTATACTTCGGTAGTTAATCGATGCGAGCTTTATTCCTTCACATGTCCAACAAGACGTATCATTTTTTCATTTTTCTCGTCATATAAAATTTTTTTTATTAGTTTTATAGATTTTATTTTTTTTAAAATATTACCGATGGAATAAAATTTTACCAACGACTTGCTTCTTTTGGTACTTTTGCCCATATTTACAAATAGAATTATTCGTTGGAAATTTTTTTGAAAAAATTCGAATTTATTTTTGACTTATTTTTCTATTTGGCAACGGATTTTACTAGGAAAATATTTTTAATTTATTTTGACAATGGATTGCCGACATATTTTCGTACGAATATTCTATTGTTATTTTTTAAAATATTAATGAAAATGGATCTACTGAAAAGTCGTTGGTTAACCGTTGATATTAGCAACAGAATTATCTAAGGTAAATTTCCGTTTCTTTTGCCGCAAATTTTAGCATGAATGTGGATGCCAATTCGATATGTGATTACTTGAAGATGTGATTGTTAAGTCAATTATAGATTTCATAGCTAAATCATTGATATGATCTTTTATTATTTTTATATTTCTATTTGAAATGGTTGAATTTACTTTAGATAATTAAATGAAATAATTAATTAGATAATTACAAGGAACTGGATATTAAAATTTCTATTTAGTGTCTGTTTGATTTTTGTTAAATTTCAAATTTTTAGTGGATATTGAAAAATTATAAGTTCATTGAAATATGTTTTTACATTTTAATTTTATCAATTTCTTTTAATTGCATCAAACTTAGATTTAGTAAATTTATATTACATGTCAACATCGGATTTGCCATGAACTCCCTGCCTGGATTTGGGTTCACAACACGACATATACGTATGCATGGGAAACATAAGTAATTAATTGTTTGTTGAAGCTTAATATACTGTAGTACAATATCAAGATGAGTAATGATATTTAACGTGCAATGTCATTAATCACGAAATCATCTTAAAGCGGGAATGAGTACATTTAAAATATTTTAGCATTTGCAACCACCCCGTTTGACCCTATTAAAATTATAATTTGTTTTTTTAGTTTTTCTTATTAATCACACATTGTCCAATAAAATAATATTATACGTAATCCTAAAATTTTCCCTTCTTTTTTGACCACACATTTAAAAAAAATAAAAATTATTTCAACCATTAAAATTTCAAATAATGAAGACCAAATAAGGGTTTAGTGTTATAGTACTAGTGCTATTATATAATATTATCGTCTCAAGATTAGGTCAATATTATTAAAAGAAATATTTCAAATCCTTATATATTGGTCTATATATTTTGATTATTAATGAGCATTGGATTCATCTTTTAACATATATGAACATGTATATACATAATACAAATTTGTAATTAAAAAAAGTTGATTAAAATTTAAATTAAAGTCTATAATTTATTTTGACCATATATTTTATATGACCACAACTTTTCAATTGCACTTCCACGATATTTATCAAAATTTTATAAAAATCCGGTTTTTATATGCTATATGTATAGTATATGTACATGTACAAGCACTACACCAAAAAAGAGCTTTTGCAGCGGCCAAAACACGCTGCAAAAGTCTTTTTGCAACGTTTTTTCAAGTGTTGCGAGGGTCGGTGTTACAGTTGCGGTAGACCTTTTGCAACGTTTTTCCAATGTTGCCGTAGACCTTTTGCAACGTTTTTCCAATGTTGCCGTAGACCTTTTGCAACATTTTTCCAACGTTGCCGTAGTCCTTTTTGTTTTTACAGTTTTATATGGTAATTGACCCACAAGATTGAAAATGACACTTTGTGAACAAATTTTGAAATTGCATAAAAATTGATAATTTCATTACAAATTTTTGAATCTATTCATTAGAATGTGATACAACACAACCTATCTAAAAATAAATAAGGATTAAAGAGTTTTTGTTGCATCCTCTATAAAACTCGAAACTACAATNNGTAAGGATTAAAGAGTTCATGTTGCTTCATCTATAAAGCTCGAAACTACAATAAACTATCCAGATTACAAATTGCACGGAAACAATGAAACAAAAACAGACTAATAGACTGCAACACGGAATAGAATGAAGAGCGCAAGGCAAAGCTGGATGCTTGTTGTCCATGTCTGATGGAACCAGAACGGAAACTCTCCAATCCGATAAGCATCCACAGTGACATAGTTCATTATTTCACCACTTGAATGATTCAGCTTAGCAGTATTAGACAATCTCAGTTGCTTTTTATAAACGACTGCTGTTAGAAAAGATCTTACCTTTAGACGCCGGCTCCTAAAGTACCACTGTCTTTGAGATAAGGATTCGAGGCTCTTCGTAAAGAAAAGCAATATGGCCAATACATATCCCTCGTATTTAAAACTTTCTTTACCTTCGTCAACCATGATGAAGGCATTAAGAAGAAGCGGACCAGCAGAAAGAGCAATTACTCAAAAATCCACTACAATAACTACTGGATATTATAGCTCTTAAACCCAAAAACCAAGTCTCAGCCTGCTATTTGCATAGACAAGTGAAAGGTGCTGACTTTCCCTCTCTGGTTTAAGTTGTTTCTGTAAAAAAGTAGCATTTGGATATAAAATGCATAAACATAGCATCACATAACAAAACGATTTCGTTAACTTACAGTGGTTTGGCCATGTACAACATTCGTAACTGAGGTTAATCGCAGCTGTCTTTCCTCTTGATCAGTATACCAAATCAAAAATTTCTCATCCTGAAAAACAAGGATTGGAATTCAGGCATGCTGAGAAATTAGAGAATCCCAGATTGTAGTTGTTAGAACTCTGAAAGGTTAGAAAATTAGAGATTATCTGCATACACTAGTGGTCATGTTATGGAAATATTTCTGGATTCCATTCTATTTATAATATGTTACTCCACATTTACAAAAACTTAACAAGAATGTATTCCAAAAATGTATACTCCCCTATATTTTTTGTCCATTAAATCACGACTAAGATTTTTACTCCACAACTACGGAACAATTTCATTGAGACTATAAATCAAACACTTTCCTAGCAAACATCAAATAACATAAAATAATAAACAATAGACAGCAGAATTCACTTACCAGGGCAATGGTAGGGAGCCCAATTTCAAAACAAAAAACAAAAAAGGAAGGCAGTCCAATTTAAAAAAAAAAAAAAGACGAACCAAACACAAGCAGTTATTGAGAGAGAGGAGCAAGGGATGGGAGGGAGCGAATGGCTTGAGAGATGAGAATCGGTACCGCGACGCTATTCGAGTAGCTTGTGAGAGGTCCGATGACTACGAGAGGAAAAAAGGTGGTTCTGTCGATTTTAGTCGGTGGAGGGAGTCGAGGCTTGCCAATTTTACGGCCATGACGGTCGTGGTGGAGCTTCCGGGAGAATAACAGAGAAGAAGCCGACATGGGAAACTATCACAAGGTTTTTACATAGAACCAGAAAGTAAGGGGAAGAAGAAAGGAGAGGCGGAGATGAGAGAATGAGGAAAAGTTAGGGCTAACTGGTTTGATTTAAAGGGAACGTGGATTTTTTGCAATGTTATTTAAAACATTTTTAAAAAAACGTTGCGAAAAGATCAGAAAAATCCGTAAACGCTGCTGAAAATAAAAAATTTCGCAACTTAAAAAACGTTGCGAAAAGACAATATTAGCAACATTC